TGTGGTAAAGAGTTCTGAAAACAGAGCTAGGATTTCCAGTTGAAGAAATGAAAGTAATATGAAATTGACTGACTTCTAAGCTAGACACCTTACAATGCATCTTTAAACCATTGACAATCTTGAGATTCAAGTAGCATTATTCTGGTTATGAACATATTTAAATTAGGGTTCAGAGAGAATTGTTAGTTAATTTTAAATCACTGAGCTAGTGAATGAAAGGCTTAGAATTTGATCCATCAGCTTACTAACTTGTACAGGGTCTAGAACCAATATAACTAGTGCCTTGACAAGTCAAATGACCCATGAAAAACCTCTTCATATTTGTCTTGGTAGTCTACAAGACACATGTGCACTCACTTCTGACACACACCTCTGAGAGAATCTGGTGATGGTTTCAATGTTTCCTGGTGTGTGTTCTTAGGTCTCCCAGAGGAAAGACCGTGTACTAAAAGTTAAGAGTCAATGATGGCCATTGTGTTCCCTAACTCAAGTCTGTAAATTATTGTGTTAAATCACAATGACCAAAGCACAAAGCCTCTAGGAACATTTTTCCAAGTGAAACAAGTGCTGTAGCTATGTGAGGATATCGGGCAGAGATTTCTGGCTGTCTGTGTGAAGGACTTTGTTTAGGGGAAGCCTATGTTGCCAGCACAGTCCCTTCTCCAATACAATAGCTGTTGGCACCGCATTAATATGTGCGAATTGGGAGAGCTGCCAGTGAAAGCAAACTCTTTTGTGAAGTGTGCAGTGTTGTGCTGGGGCACCAGCTGCAGCTCCCCACTGATGACCCTCTAAACTGTCTTTCACTAGCAACACAGCCGAAGGGACAACACAGCAAATCAGGAATGAATTTCTAGGGAGAGGCAACATGGTGTCATGGAAAAAGAATTAAGGTAGGTGTAAGGAAACCCTTCTTTTAATTCCAAGGTTGTGACCTCCTTTACCTTCCATTTCTCTTATTCACTTACTCCCCCAGACATCCATCCAAGCAGTCAAGAATGTATTGAATGCCAGTTTGTGTTAAAGACCTTGGATCAAGTGGTATGGAAGTTGTGGCTTGGCTATTATGTGTATTAGAAGTAACAATAATTCCATCTACTTCAAAGTAATGTCATGGGGATGACGCCCTAGTTTCTAATTATGTGTAAGTGAAAATAATTTTGTTTGCCCTGCTTCTCTCAATTTGTGAATCTGAGATTCATTTGAGATAAGTGCGTGGCTGGATTTATGAGCTTAAAGCATGAAATAACTACAGAGAAAACCAGATGATGTTATCAACATAATGTTTATACAATTATTTAAACTTACCTTTGGAAACAAACGAATGAGATCTTGCCATTTTTGATTCCCTGCTTTTTTTTTTTAGCATAAGCAAAACATTCAGAGTTAAAAAGTGAAATGAGCTGAAATAATCATATTTATAGTTTTTCAAATAAAACCAGCAGATGATAGCCAAATTTATATCTTTCAAATAATATTCTTATAATAATCTTCGGTAGCTGTAGGTATTTGGACTTTGAAATTCAATATAAGGCCCCAGAGAAGAGGAGGCTATTGCTAATAGATTAGTTGGGATTACATTTTATCACACAGGAAACAAGCAAACAAAAGATGCAAACTCTCAATGCCTAAAATCAGCTAGACATCTTTGTTTTTTTTTCCTCACATAAAAAAGTCTAGAGAAAGACAACTGGCCTACGGCTACTGTGGAATGTCAGCTGAGACCTGAACTATGGTTTTTTCTTTTCATTATTTTAACATGTGACTTACTAGTAAGGTCTTCTTGGGTTGCCAGTGCTCCAGGTTTCACCTCTGCATCCCAGGTCAAAAGGAGGAAAAGCAGCTGAGTAGAATCCCTTTAAAAAGCCTTTCTAGATGTTTCCATTAGGAATGATGTTTTCCTACCTTTTGACAAAATTACTCACAAGACCATTGTTAACCACAGGCACAGCTATAGAACATAGTTTTTATCTTCAGGGATGTTGTGTCCACATAAAAGGGTCTTTTTAAAATAGAGGAGAATGGGCCAAGCAGCTAAAGTCCTTGCCTTGAATACGCCGGGATCCCATATGGGCGCCGGTTCTAATCGCGGCAGCTCCACTTCTCATCCAGCTCCCTGCTTGTGGCCTGGTAGAGCAGCAGAGGGCAGCCAGAAGCCTTGGGATCCTGCCCCTGTGTGGGGAACCTGGAAGAGGCTTCTGGCTCCTGATTTTGGATTGGTTCAGCTGCAGCCATTTTGGGCACCTGGGGAGTGAACCATTGGAGGAGGGTCTTCTCTGTCTCCCTCCCTCTCTGTGTATCTGACTTTCCAATAAAAATACAATAAATCTTCAAAAAAATAAAATAGAGGAGAATGGATGTCAAGCTAGACAACTAACAGCCTCTTCCACATAAAATATCAAGAAAAACTATTATATAGTTTTTTATTATATAGTATTAATAGATGGAATGTTCTGAACTGTAGGTTTTTTCTATAAATTTTACACATTCCTTTAGTTTAAGAATAATATCATTTGGGGGCCTGGCACAGTAGTCTAGCAGCTAAAGTTTTTGCCTTGAATGCACCGGGATCCTTTTTGGGCGCTGGTTCTAACTTCGGTGGCCCACTTCCCATCCAGCTCCCTCTTTGTGGCCTGGGAAAGCAGTTGAGGATGGCCCAAAGCCTTGGGACCCTGCATGTGCATGGGAGTCCTGAAAGAGGCTCCTGGCTCCTGGCTTCGGGTCGGCACAACTCTGGCCATTGCGACTGCTTGGGGAGTGAATCAACAGAGGGAAGATCTTTTGTTCTGTCTCTCCTCCTCTCTGTAAATGTGACTTTCCAATAAAAATAAATCAAATCTTTAAAAAAGAATACCATTCTCTTATATGGTATACAAGAAGATCCAATTCAATGTAAGAATATATGTTTTTATGACTGAAATATTTAAATTTACTCTTGTTCTACAAAGAGCAACATTACTTCCAGGGATTTTATTGTCAGGATACATTGAGCTCCATTCATTTCAATCAAATATGATTGTTAATATATATTTAGAAACATTCTGTAAGCTGAAGCCACCTGCTTGCCCATGCCCCAGCAACCCCAGTGCAGAAGAGATTGCCAGGAAGCCTATGACCTTGAAATCCTGTGAGACGAGGCCTCCCAGAATCTTCCTCAACAAAGAAGGAAGTCCACGCACTGCAGCCACAGCAAGCGCATTCTTCTCCGCCTGTCCTCAACTTCCTCGCCAGAGCAGTTGTGCGGAGTAAAATCCTTTCGGTGTTTCACGTGGACGGTGTCCATGTGCATATTTGTGGGTCTTTCTGTACCCTTAACACTTTCCTTCAGAGGACCTTAGCTAACTCTGGGCCGCTGTGTTGAGGAGCTCATTGCCTTACCTGAGGAGCAGGGCAAGTCTGCCGCATTGTGAAAGAGCTGCAGACATCCCAACCATCTTGATTGCTTGGGGAAGTATTCTCTGCATGCCACAACCAGAGATAACAGCCAACACGAGATATAAGCTCCAGACACTGAAGCAAGAATTTTGTGTCTTTCTAAAACAACCATATCAGGCCTGGTGTGATAGCCTAGTGGCTAAAATCCTTGCATGTGCCTGGATGCTATATGGGCACGTTTGTGTCCTGGTTGCTCCTCTTCCCATCCAGCTCCCTGCTTGTAGCCTGGAAAAGCAGTAGAGGACGACCCAAAGCCTTGGGATCCTACACCTGTGTGGGAGACCCAGAAGAAGTCCTGGCTTCAGATCAGCTTAGTTCTGGTCATTGGGGCTTCTTAGGGAGTGAACCAGCAGATTAAAGATCTTTCTCTCTTTCTCTCCTTTTCTAAATCTGTCTCTTAATTAAGATAATAAATATTTTTAAAAATATATCTATGTGACATAATCTTAAGTGCAACCCAAAATGGGCCTTCATAGCAAATAGTATAAATCACACCAGAAGAAATAAACTTTGGAAAAACATGAATTATCTAATATGTTATGCTACCACCTTTTTTCTTCCTTTTTCCTTTTTTCTTTACTTGTTTGAGAAATGGAAATACAGGGACAGACAGACAATGAGATATCCTCCCCACTGATTCATTCCTCAGATGCCGGCAACAGACAAGGCTGGTCCAGACCAAAACCAGGAGCCGGAAGCTCTGTCTGGGTCTGCCATTTGGACCCCTATCTGCTGCCCTGCAGGCTAGACAGTGGCAGGACGCCGGACCTGAACCTAGGCTCTCCGACAGAGGCTGCAGACAGCCACGGTGGAGTCTAAACCACTACAACCAGTGCCAACACCAGCTTCAAGTTGTTAGAGTCGTACAGATGATAGCAATAATAGTAAAGTTGGATTATTGACTCAGCAATCTTCCAAAAATATTGCTGTACTATAACATGAGTGTAAGAAAAATAACCTAATAGTCAAAGGATATTGTCACTAATTGGCGAAGGTGTTCTTACCAGGAGTGTGACTCAGGGATCAGCAGTTAACTCGAATGCAGGAATAGACAGAGAATCCATATAAACAACTGGCTTTAGTGTTCCACCATTCTAGGCTTTGTCATCTACAAACAACTTTTTTTTCTCTCCTCCTCCTCAGGTTATTCTCTAATCCTCACCATTTTCCTACCCGTTCTCTCTCCCTTTGAAGGCTGACGCAAAGAAAACAGCGGGTCTAATAACGAGGGCAAATGGAAATAGAAATGAATTAAAGGTAAATTCAAGAGATTAGCAAGCATCTAACCAACACAACTGTAACCTGGGAGACAAAGTGGAACGGCTGTGTCAGAAAACGGGCTCTGCACTCAGGAGTGCTTTCTCGTTCTGAGACTGTGCTATCTTGGTCTCCTATTGCTTAACGAATCATCCCGCCTCAGAGAACGTCATCTATAAGCAAAAGATGGTCAAAATACAAACGGTCCAGGATGTCTCAGGACTTATAATAATACACATAACATCTTATAGGCAATGCATTAACTTCCACATTGTGAGATATCTCTATACATCAAAACGGAACTCCTCTAAATCTAGAGGTCCATTTATTTCAAGCAATATTTTATCCAAGTCTGGAAAAATAAAAATAATTCTAGAATGATCACACAAGGGAACACAATGAGTCCTGGGGAAATAAAATGAAATGATAAGTCTATTTTGGTGCAAAAGCAGTTTAAAATCCTTGCAGGGCTTGGTTTTTCATAGTATATGTTTCCCATGAAGCTTTTGAAGTCCCTTTGTAACACTAGTAAACCCATGTTGGGGTCACAGCAACAGGGAAATTGGCATTGTCCTCTGTTTGACACATGGCTCAGACACACTGCTTTTACTGTGGTGGTTACTCTGGAGCAGCTTGGCTGCTGGGTTGCCTTCAGTTGCACTTGGGTTGCGTCAGCACTCCCACTTCCTGTTTTGTGGCTGTCTAAGCTGCTGGCTCTGCACCTTTAACTCCCCCTTCCCCTTCCTCTTCAGAGGATTTCATCAAGACCTCCAGAAGGGAAGGCAATGCCACCGGATCCTCTTGCAGCAGCTTTTCCTTTTCTTTTTCTAACCTCTTTTGAGCCTCCATGAGTTTCCTGTAATGACTATGTCTATGCTTCAGCTATTTCAGTATTTCTGTGGCTTTCTGATTCTGATCTCAATTCACATCCTCCAGCCAAAACCATCTCAAACGAGTAGTTGGAGGTTTTTGCTGGAAGGTAATTTGAATTTGTTTACATGGCCACCAACTCCCAATTTAGATGTCCTGAGATTACTAGAGTGGAGGAGTGGCCTTCCGAGATTTCCTTTTTCTTAGTATCACTGAGCCATATTATTAGCAGGGATAGGCCCTTTTGTTTCTGAGCTAATCCTTTTTCCTTATAATTCTCAAGAATTGCTGCCGAATCAGAATTAGGAAAGCATCAGCAAGCTGACAAAGAGTTAAAGTCAACCCCAGATATGGGTATAGCTAGGTGTTTTGGTTTTTCTTCATCAATAAGAAGTTACACACATACATACAAGTATGCAATATATGTGATTATGCCATTACAATCTTCGGGTAACTTTTCTTCAAGAAAGCCACAGTGCATACTGGATATTTATCATTATAGGGGACAAATGTCTTTTGCTTCTTTATCTTTTGTTATCATTGATGGGTGAACAGTAGGAAAGTCCCAAATATTCAGCTTCTCTCCAATTCCTGGGCTCTGCAATGTGCGTGTGCGTTCATTCATTTGACAGTCACCGAGCACCTGTTGCATCCACTCGACAGCTAAAACAGAGTCACAACAAAGTTGTATTATAAATGAGAAGCATGGCAATCAACCCTCCAGCCAACCGGCCAACCAGATGGGACCAACACCCCCTTACTGAAGTATGGCCCCAAATAGCACATTCACAGGGTTTTTATAGGGGCAGTCCACAATAGCTTAAAAAGGGGCAATCCACAATATTCTACAAGGTGAGAGGGGAAATACCACACATTCCCTACCTATCTCAGTTGGACAGCCCATGCCTGGCTCTTTTCTGGTCCAGCAATTAAAGTAACCACCCACTTAATGACTAAGAGCCACCTGTGAGATAACCAGACTTGGGCCTTGGAGCCATCAGTGAGATAATCAGTCTTGGGCCTTGATTCATGAGAATTGGGGCTCATCAGTGCTAAAGGTCACATAGGCCATTTGGCCTGCAAGCTCATACAGTTTCTTAGTATTGAGGAGCCGTGTTTACTCCATTTTGTTTTCAATTCTACACGCCTAGTATGGTCCAGGTGCCCATATACAGCTGCATATGGAACAGTCCAGATCCCTGGCATCTGGAATTTTCTATGTAGGTGAGTAGTTATTTCTCAGATTTAGAAAATATGCCCATTTGAGAGAAATCCAGTGTGGGTCAAGATTCCAAGAGGAAGTAGAGGAAGGAGCAGACTAGGTTTATCACACGGCCGCCCCATGGTTTCCTCCCAGGCTAAGTGTAATGCAGAGCGGGGTATTGCTCATATTTCCTTCCTGTCTTGGTAGCACAGAACTCGTGCCTACATTTTATGGCTGGATATTTTGTTTCCCAACAACTTTAAGACTTTTGCTTTTCTTTTTTATTCTATCCAAGTAAGAATGCGCCTCTTAGCTACTAATACCGCTGTCCTGCATCCTGGCAGTCTCAAGTTTATTTCTATCTCTAACCTTGCCTTGACGTTCACCGTGAGGAAGATACTTCCTCAAAGTGACCTTCACTTGCTCCGTAGTGCCACTGTTTCGATTTCCTGAAATATTTACAGGAAATGCCTCCTGACAAAAACTACCAGTAAGTTTTTAATTGAAGCCATAAGTTAATCTTTTATCCTTCTGCTTCATATGGTAAAAGGAAACATGTGGTATTTATTTCTTCCATTCACTTGTATATGATTAAGTTTTTATAGCCTACATATAGATATCAAGCACGTTCCAATTTTTTTCTATTATTTTGTTTGAAGGGAATAAGTATTTGGGAGTGACTAAGTGGCTGTTGTACCTAGGTAAGAGTGAGTATATGTAATGATCCACTGGTTTCTAAGATCTATTGTTCTTATTGTCAACTAACAGAAATTAGAAAATAAAGATTACATGGATGTGAAATTAATGCTTGCAAGGTTTGTCACTTTTTAAAAAAAGATTTTATTTATTTTAATTGGAAAGTCAGATATATAAAGAGAAGGAGAGAGAGAGAAGATCCTCCATCTGATGTTAAAAAAGATTTTATTTATTTTAATTGGAAAGTCCAGATATATAAAGAGAAGGAGAGAGAGAGAAGATCTTCCATCTGATGTTTCAATCCTCAAGAGGCTGCAGCAGCTGGAGCTAAGCTGATCCGAAGCCAGGAGCCAGGAGTTTCCTCTGGATCGCCCATGCAGGTTCAGGGTCTCAAGGCTTTGGGCTGTCCTCAATTGTTTTCCCAGGCTACAAGCGGGGAAATGGGAAGCAGAGCCACCAGAACACAAACTAGCACCCAATGCATTGAAGGCAAGAACTTTAGCCGCTAGGTTACTGTAGCTGGCCCAGATTTGTCACTTCTAAAATTGTATCTGGGGCCAGTGCAGTGGCTCAACAGGCTAGTCCTCCACCTGCAAATGCCAACATCTCATAATGGTGCCAGTTCATACAGGGGCTGTTCTACTTCCTAACTAGCTCCCTGCACATGGCCTGGGAAAGCAGCAGAGGATAGCTTCAGCCCTTGGGCCTTTGTACCCACATGGGAAACACAGAACTGCTCCTGGCTTCTGGCTTCAGATTGGTTCAATTCTGGATATTAGAGCCATTTAGGAAGTGAACCAGCAGATGGAAAATCCCTCGGTGTCTTTCCTTCTCTTTATAACTCTGTCATTCAAATAAAAATAGATAAATCTTAAAAAAAAAAAAAAGCTATTTCTGTGGCTCTTCATCTTTCCCAAGGTGACCTAAAAGTAGCTAGAGCTAAGCAAGATCCCTGTATGTAAATAAAAAACTAGAAGCTTTATAGCCCAAAATGAATGAAATTTGGACTGCCTGTGTTGCAAGTCATATGGCTAAAAAGCAAATTCTGAGTCCAAAAGGATTAGGTAAACTATTTTGTCACCAGAGAATTAAGAGATGGCAGCATCACTCTATGGAGCTGTGCCTGTGCCATCCCCCAGGTTGGTAATGATGCCATGTGGTTAGGGAGTCAAGCTTTGACCCCAGTAGTTCACATTTACTTCTTTATGTGGACAAGACTTGGGAAGAGGTAAAAAGCAACTTAGAAACTTCTTGAAGTCCTCTGTCTCCTATATTTTAAAGATTTATTCATTTATTTATTTGAAAGGCAGAGAGAGGGTGAAACGGGAGAACTTTTCCATCTACTGACTTACTATGGCTGGTACAAAATCCAGGGCAGGGCCAGGCCAAAGCCGGGAGTCTATATGGAGCTCCCATGTAGGTGACAGGAGGACTAAGTTCTTGGGCCAGTTCCCACTGCTTTTCCCAAGCATTGGCAGGGAGCTGGATAAGAAGCAGAGCATCCTGGACTCAGCATTCAGAGATACAATACTGGTGTCACAAACAGGAATTTAACCCTCTGTGCCCCATCAGCAACCCCTTTACTATTTATTCATTTGCTGTGTACTTTCTCAGTAATTGAAGCACTGAATGACACACATGTATCACAGAAGTGTTTGGGACTAAAATGAGATATTCTACATAAAGCATGCTGCTTAGCTGGCCTATAGTAATACATATAAAATACTATTGTTGTGATGCTAATGGTGATAAGTATCCATCAGGCCTGAAATCATCTGCAGTGCCTTCTACATTTCTGGAACAGGAGACCAAAACATGGCCCAGCTGGCAAGCTGCAGGAGATGGTTAGAGAACTGACAGGCCTAGTTAGCAGGTGTTATCAAAAAGGGTACAGGGCAATGTCTATAAAACCAGGACAGTAATAACGATGTCTTTCTCTCTGTTGGAACCAAGGGGACATCACAGAAACCGCATGCGGCTAGAAAAGGGCCTGGGCCTCACTGCAGCACAGAGTCGACACAACTAGCACCACTGAAGTTAACGGGGCAAAGTCTTTTTGGTTTTCTGTTTTACAAGAGGGTACTCATCCCAGCAATGTCTGTTTCAGCATATATGACACAAAGTAACATACATGACTTAGTCAAGGTGAATGGCATGACTCATTCATTAGAATGAGATGATTGCGACTACCTCACCTTGGAGCTCTGAAAGAAATGGAACCTGGCGTTTGACCTAGTTGATGATTTCTGTTTCCAGAAGACGAATGTTTTCTGAATTCTATCCAGTTTCTTTTGTTTGGGGTAGGCAAATGTTGAAACAGAAAGAAGTGGCAATGTGCTTTTGTTTAGTATGGGCTCCTGGGGAAAGTCCTTTAATATTTTCAGCCGGTTGCTATGGAGGCAGCCAGCAGCAAGCTCAGCTAATAAATTTGGAGTGACATGGTTGTGGGATGGGCTACCGCAGCAATTAACAGACAACCTGGAATAAAAGGGAAGACGGAGCAAAACTGGCTGAATATAAAAATCACCAAGTTTAGATAGGAAAATACAGTTTTCAAACCCCAGAAGGTATTTAACAAAGTGAGCGAGTTTTGACAATGACTTTCCCATCCCCCCTCCCATCAGTAAAGATTCCAATTCTCCTGTTCATTACAGCCACGGTCCAAGAGGGAGGCTGGTTAAACTGTTCAGGTTTAGTTGAGCTTTGAAATATCTTTCACAAACCGTGCTCTGGATAGTGGGATCTCCAGAGTGGCCAAGTGCCCTCAATAGAGCTTCTGAAAGCAATCTGCTCAACTGTAGAGGACTAAGGAAAGAACAGCTTTTAGATTTGCTTAAACGGGCAATGAGGCAACAGTGACCATCATCGTTGGCTGTTCCCTTCTCTGACGCTCTGGACAGAATTCTTTTTTCCTGTTCAGAGCTTCCTGCTTGTTGTTTGTCTTAGCGGGGTGGAGAGCCATCATTCAAACTCTGCAACAACAGATTGCAAGCTAAGGTTTTCTACACTTTGTTTAACTTTCCTGAAATGTCCCTGTTTCCAGAAATGATTTATTGGTGGCCTCATTTGTTTTTTATCTTACTCAACACTCCCCTGGGAACATGGTTAAAACACCACTCTAGCAGTAATTCTCCCTGGTAAGGAAGTGGCGGGTGGCAATAAGACCAAAGCACAGATTTGAACCACTGGGGGCTTTTGACTTTCTGCTACCCTTCCATAAAGGGAACCCTCAGAACACCGTGGCCACTCAGCAAACACTGTGCATTTATTTCATCTAAGCCTGGCTGGCATTGCACTTTCCTTTCTCAGGCTAGAATGATCCTAACCAGCAATGTCTTTGTGTCATGATGCAGAAAGTTGGCAAGGACACATGAATTTAATGCTGAAGTCCAGCTTCTGAGTGGGGGAGGAAGCCAGAGGCAGAAGCAAAGCTGTGCACAATGGCAGTGGGTCTCTCTTGTCATGTTTGTTCCAACAGAGGTCAGCCATTGTGCATTGTCTCTGAGAGATTGAATACAGCATATTATTGTAGGGTAAAATTTGAGATTTCTTTCTGTAGTGATGCATACAGAAAATAACAACTCTCTAAGCTTGATTTCTTTGCTTTTATTTAAATATTTCCAAAGGTATTCTTCTAGGAGAAGGTAAATAACACCAGTTCTCCAGTGAAGAAACTATGTTGCTGATGGAAATACTTAATATCAAATGAACCAGAACATCTTATCAAAGTTGTGAAAAATTCTCATTTGAAATGAATTTTGTTGGTTGCCAACTCAGCAACATATCTTTGCCTTGTTCTTAATAAAACTCCAATTTTGCTTTCTTCTCCTCCAGCCCTGTATTCGGGAAGGGCTGGTACCAGATCCTGAGAAAAGCCTGATTGGTCTGGGTGTTGTCATCTTCCTGTCAGTATTGGACTTAGGAAAGAGCCAACAATTCACTTCTGGCCAACACGATGTAAGCAGCAGTGTACTGGAGGATTCTGGGAAGTCATCCCTTGCCATTTGGAGAACCACAGGAATTTCAGCCTTTTTCTCCGTGGCTAGGAATAAAGCAGTACATAATGCCATTTGCTGTTCATCTCATATTCGCAGACTGTCCTGCAGCTAGCTTATTAACCACAAAAGGAACAAATGGAGGCCAACACTGAGGAGCATTGTGGCATTAACTCTGGGTTCTTATGACATAAGCCAAGCCATGGATCAATGCTACCCTTCTTAATTGTTTAAAGTGTTTGAGTTCAATCTATGTCACTAAAGTCTTCTTTTCTCCATGGGTGGTTCTATGTTCCATTCCTCATCTTATTTGTCTCGTGGTTATGCCTTCTCTTCTTCTCCTCTGTCTCTTTCATGTAAGAACCACAGCCTTTGCTTTGCCCTATGCTGTGCCACTCTGGCCATTCCTTTCTTGCTTTTCTGGCCTTTTCCCTCTTAACCTTTACCTCTCTTTCTATCAGATGTATCCACCGGTGTATCTTCCTCTTGCTAGTAACAGCCAGAATATAAAAAGTAGGACCACGAGGGTGTATAACTGGAATCGGGGGAGTTTCACTCCTTCACCCTCTTTTATAGTTTGAAAATCACCCCTCATCATCTCATAAGAAATTCTGTCTACTTTGGGGTTAATACAGTGATTCAACAGACTAATCCTCCACCTGCAAACACTGGCATTCCATGTGGATGACGGTTCATGTCCTTGCTGCTCTTCTCCCAATCCAGCTCTTTGCTTATGACCTGGGAAAGCAGTGGAGGATAGTTCAAGATCTTGAGTCCCTGTGCCCACATGGGAGTCTTGAAAGAAACTCCTGGCTTCAGTTTGGCTCCGCTCCAGCTGCCACTTATGAGGTAAGCCAGTAGGTGCAAGACATTTTTCCCTCTCAGTGTGTTCCTCCTTCTCTCTGTAAATTTGCCTTTCAAATAACATAAATAAATAAAAAATAAAATTTTAAAAAAGATTTATTTAAAAAAGAAGAAATTCCGTCTACCATCTACCACATCACTCCATATAACAGTCTCGTGTGCTCTGGGATATTCACCCAAAAATTATATTTCTCTGAAACTACTTCTTATGATAATGACTTAGCCTAATGGCTTTCAAAATTCTCTCTGATTATAACCCACATTAAGTATGTCTGCGGCCACAGTGCACACATAATATCTAAAAAAACACGGAGGCCAAAACGTCATGAAACCAACTCACTTTTACTTACCTGTGATGCATTCCAACATTTTCTCTTCTGTCCTGTTTCATTTTTAAAGATTATTTCTCTCTCCTCACAAAATAAATTTTGTGGATGATTTTGGCCTAAAAAAAAAAATACCTTCCTTAGCTGACAACAGAGATCCTGAAGTGTTACAAAACACATGCAAGGTATTTTTGAAGATGGTTAAGATCCTGTGTAACCTGAATCAAATGGCAGCCAAAACACACTAGGATGGGTTCTGTGTGCGGTTCTGTACTTTTTTGCTGAAAAGAAGAAGTGAGAGTTTATAAATGCTGATAGCTGATATGGTCCTTGTTGGAGAGATTTCTGAAATGACAGGTGTGTGTGTGTGTGTGTGTGTGTGAGAGAGAGAGAGAGAGAGAGAGAGAGCGCATCACTGTTAGCTCTAGTGAGCAGAGATGTCTTTCCAAAATTTGTTGGTATCCCAGAGCCAACTTATTGATTGTGGTTTTTCTGTTTCACTTTTTAGCGACTGAAGGCATCCACTCGATTACACACACAGCAGTCACGCTGCTTCTTTAAGAGCTGAGCATGGCAGATTATCTGTAAGCACCGTTTTTAATACTATCGGATTGTGGTCAGATGTGTTGGCTTTCTGGCTGATAGTGAGTCATTATCAGCTGTCACCACTCTCACAGCCTGCAAGGCTGTACAAAGATCACACATATCAAGTCCATGCCATGTTTGAGGGTCATGTGATAGCTAAAAAAGTCCCCATGTTCAAACTGCAAAGGTCTAGGTAAATGTGAAATATCATTAGTGGATATTTTATAAGAAATTCTGTCTTGCCTAAGGAACTGCTTAAGATTTTTGAGCCCCAGTGAATTTTAATACAACAGCGATGTTGAGTCCTATGCAGGTTTTCAAGGAACGCAATTCACATACTTGCATAAGCATACACATAAGTGTGTGCATTTTATTTTTAAGCCTATATTCGAGAAAATGCAGACTGATTACTAGAAGCCCAATTTTTTTATAAGATATCTTAGGAAGTAGGTTTTATTTTAAATATTACTGTGTTTATCATCCTGTATATTCATGTTTGTGGGGGGACACATTAAATGATGTTGTATAGCCTTTAAGACAAAGTTTCAGGATCAGAAAGACTCCAAATACAGTTCAATCTTTCACTAAGTCTGCTGTTTTTACTCCAGAGATCTGCTGTTCCTCACACATAGAAAGATAATAATATAATTCACCTCATAAATATTATTGCAAGTTTATCTCTACCCATCAAATAAACTTCATGATTCACTAACGAGTCAGACCACCTAATACACAGCCTTGCTCTGATATTAAGAAGTACAGTCACTTGAAAAACTTGTAGTGCGGGTATGTGTTTGTGTTGTGTATGTATGTTGGTGCTGTGTGTGTGACAGAGTGACAGAGAGAAGCACTTAGCACGGTAATGGTGTCCAATAATACTAACAGCAATAAGTTGTGCTACCCATGGCCTGTATCTCATGCTTTCTCTTTAGTGTTGGCACTTTTCTCAGCTGATTTCTGGACCCATGTGTAGGCCGAAAGACGCCCATCATAGGCTCACGTGTTTAAAACGTGGAATAATATAGTAACCAATTTCTAACACTCCCAGGGGGCAGTGCGTGGTGGGACAAGGGCTCCTCTGACTACAGAAATTTCCTTAAAAACAAATACTCTGAAAGATAATGACAGGAAACCTCACAAACTCAAGCGAGGATGTCAGGAAGTACAGGATATGAGGCTGTTTTCATTTCCTTCAGTGTTTTTCTTATTAATCACATATATATTTTCTCTTAGGGTTCAGCTGACAAAAATTTTTTAAGAGTATGAACAAAAAAGCGCTAGTTGAATACTTACTACGTTATATTTTCCAACAATATTTAAGTGCCCGAGTGCTATATTATCAAGCATTCTAATGTATTAGTCACATGCCTTCTCATTCATTTAGAAAAACGATTGCATTTTTAGGCATTTCATGGCAATATGGAAAGATAAAAGATAAAGTAGCTTGAAGTTGCAGGGGGTAAAGAAATATTTTTCCCTGCACATTTTAAGGTGCTTTCACAGTGAACTTCACAGCACAAAAGACAGATGACATTTAAAATTTGTGCTTGCATACAGCACAACTCAGAAAAGTATTGTAGGGATGGATTCTGCCATTTGATAAAATGCTCTAAGCCGGCATACAAGAGAATTATATGTACAACTATGTTTGTTGCAGCTCAATTCGTCCTAAATATATGGAATCAGCCCAAATGACCATCAGCTAATGACTAGGCCGAGGAAATATACTTGAATATACAGGCTTCTGTCTTTGCTTTGGCCCAGTCTTAACCATAGGGGGCATTTGGGAGTGAACAAAAGGGAGCTTTGTTTGCATGTGTCTACCTCTCTGTCTCTCAGATAAATAAATTTAGAAATAAATTAGTGAAACCGGGAAGAGATGTGTTAAACAGGAGTCAACCAGGTTGGCTTCACTTGCCTCCTACAAGGCACCCATAGCTGTTTTCTTGCACAATTTCTCAAGCCAGACACTAAAAGGAGAGTTTACAAATCAGGAGTTCCAAGGAAGGCATGCACTGTAGCACAGCAGTCAAGGCATTACTTGGGGCGCCTATAACCCCACAGGAGCGCCTTGCTTCAAGGCCTGTCACCTCTGATTCGGGGCCAACTCCCCACTACAGGTGCACCTGGGAGACAGATGATGCCTCACTTACCTGCTACCCGTGTGAAAGGCACAGATGGGGTTCCTGGCTCTTGGCTTTAGTCAGCTCAGCCACAGCTGTTGCAGGAATTTGCAAGTGAGGCAATCAAATTCTATCTCTCAACCCTCCCCAAATATAAATAAATAAGCAAAATAACAACAAAAAAAGTTGAGTAGATTTTTGCTAGTGTCTGATTTCCAGTAGTCCCTAGTAGCAGACTTGCAATGATGTGGTCTTCTACACCCCATCCCAGTGGAGGGCACACTCTTGTCTCTTTCAGGTTTCCCACATGGGTTCAGGGATCACAAAGCCTTGAACAATCCTCTGTTGTTTTCCCAGGCCATAAGCAGGGAGCTGGATTGACAGTGGAGCAGTCAGGATTCCAACTGGCACCTATATGGGATGCTGGCATCACAGGTAGAGGTTTAGCCTACAATGTCATGATACCAGTACCTTGCCCCCTTCTAGCAAACAGCTTTCAAAATCCAAGACCTGACAAATCAGTTTATGTTTAAAACTGAATAGAGACTCCCAAACTCCTGTCTTAGCAATCACATGAACAAAGAGCACACCACACTTTCCCACATGCCCAGGCATATGAGCCCACTGCCTGCAGTTTTCTGTCTCTGAAACAGCAATATGCATCCTGTGCCAGTTACTGATCTGCCCACTTCCTCTCCAGCCCTGAAATGGTTTATCCACAAACAAACGTCTAGAGTTCCTATGTTCGACTGGAAGTCAAAACAAAAATTGTTGTCTTTCTCTGCCTTGCTGAGTGGTTGGAAGCGTCTGGCTGCGGATGGGCTTTTCTTCATTGCTTATTGGACTTATTAACACCTTGAGTCTCAAGGAATAGATACATCCCCCTTTTGAAATTTATGATCTTCAATAGTTCAAAAGGTCACACTTTAGGTTCATCCAAAGAGCTTCCTTCCATCCAAGAGGCAGGAAGCTGCCTTGTATCAAAAGCAGCCTTTCCTTCACTTCTTACTAAAAATTTCTGTGAAAATATTTATGGCAGGCATATGTTGTTTTCATCTTCCATGTGGTTTTGGAGAGGCTGCCAAGCACAATACCTCACCCTCACTCAGCCACGCTGGCAGCCTAGGACACAAATCGGACCAATCCTCACATTCTCTTTGCTGACATTAAACTACTGATGTTAACATGGAGATTCACTCTCCCACTGGGATGCTAAGTGAAGGCAGGAGACACCAGCTCTACCAACTGCTGTCTTCACCGCTCACGGGGCAGAGGAAGAGACTCCATGCCAGATAGGTAGGAGGACAGGGACAGAGAAAAAAGAGGGCTTGGGGTAGAGACTGACAAGAAAGGAGGAAAGGGAAGAGCAAAGGGGAACGAAGAAGGAAAGAGTCATGATTAAAGCCTGCTGAGTTAACCAACTTCCTTTTCTGTACATAAGAGATCTGTGAGCAGGAAAAACCATCCAAATAAAATAGCTGCTGTTCACTCATACATTTAGCTAAGAATTACCATGTGCTTATTTTTGCTGGCCATGAATGAGATGGAATCTGGTGGTGGAAGATATAGTTCATGCCTTCACCAAGCTTATACCCTAGTGAAGAAATACATGCCTCTCTCTCTCTCTCTCTCTCTCTGTCTCTCTCTCTCTCACACACACACCATTCTTTTAATTTGAATACAGACTATTCCTCATTCATATTCATACCAAGAAATGGAAATAGGGGAGAATGCAATGGTGATGTTTACAGTGTTGTTAGAATAATACCATAGAAAGAACTGGTGCCATGGTTCAACAGGCTAAGTCTTCACATGCAGATGCTGCCATATCGTATGGGCACCAGTTTGAGTCCTGACTATTCCACTTCCCATCCAGCTCCTTGCTTGTGGCCTTGGAAAGCAGCAGAGGATGGTACTAATCTTTGGGACCCTGCACCTGCATGGGAGACCCAGAAGAAGCTCCTGGCTCCTGGCTCCTAGCTTCAGATCAGCTCAGCTCCAGCTATTGCAGCTACTTGGGCAGCAAGCCAATGGACAGGAGATTTTTGTCTCTCCTTCCCTCTGTAAATCTCCTTTTCCAACAAAAGATAAATAAATCAATTTTTAAAAATAAAAAACCCAGAGGTTTCGAAGAATAGAACTTGCATTATTTTTAACATATTGTTTACCCAATACTATGTCAATTAATTCCATAATGTTGTATATTGATATTGAGGCCTTGTTGGGGCTTTTAACTGACCGGATCTTTACTCTGTTAGACCTATCTTCAGACCATAGAAGGTCTCCCCAAGAGGCCACTGAACTTATCTGGACAATAAGACGCTGAACTTCATGCTAGGCATGTGTTTGCAAGCAATGAATCTCAACTGAACTTGAACTATGGTTATGCAACAAGGTGGAGGAATCCACCATGGGGGGAGGGGTATGGGAGGGGTGGAGGGAATCCCCAGCGCCTATAAAACTGTACTACATAATACAATGTAAGCAACAATAAAAAAAAAAAAAAGAAGATTTTATATCCTTTTGTAAAACTTCTTTTAAAGTGTGTGTTAATTATTTAGAAAGGCTGAGGGACAGGGCCTGACGCAGTAGTACCTAGCAGCTAAATTCCTCACCTTGAACGTACTGGGACCCCATATGGGCACCAGTTCTAATCCCAGCAGCCCTGCTTCCCAACCAGCTCCCTGCTTGTGGCCTGGAAAAGCAATCAAAGATGGCGCAGAGCCTTGGGACCCTGGACACATGTGGGAGACCCGGAAGAACTTCCTGGCATTGGATTGGCTCATCTCCGGCTATTGCAGCTGCTTGGATAGTACATCATCAGACAGATCTTCCTCTCTGTCTCTCCTCTCTGTATATCTGACTAATAAAAATAAATATTTAACTAGAAAAGGTTGAGAGACAGATACATATAGTGAGATAGATAGGCAGACTGACATATCCCTTTTGCTGGCTCATTCCTCCACTAACCACAACAAAGCTAAGCCAGTCTGAAGCCAGGAGCTGGGAACTTAATCCAAGCGACCTCTTGGATTATGGAAACTCAGTTTCTTGAGCTATTACCTGCTGAAATCCAGAGTGTACATTATCAGAAAACTGGAATTGGGAGGGAGTGAAGTCAGGACACCAATCCAGGCACTGCGTTATGAGCGACATCAACCACTGTGGCCAACTGCATCCACAGCCAGCCACACACACATATACACATTTAAGCGCTTAAGATAGTTTTACTTTTCATTTTCAACATGGCTTTCTTGACTTTCTTACAAAAACATTTGTGGATCTTTTTGTTTGCCTGCTTATTTGAGACAAAGAGACAGAGACAAAGAGGTATGAGTTCCCAACCATTTATTTACTCCCCAAGCACTCACAGAAGCTAGGGCTGAGTCAGGTTGAAGCCAGAAGCTGGAAACTCAGTCCACGTCTCCCTCATGGATGGCAAGAACAGCCACTTGAGTCATCACCGCTGCCTCCAAGGGCCTGCGTTAGGGAGCAGCTGGAGTCAGGAGCCAGCACTGGAGATCAACCCATGACTCAGACAGGGGACATGGCATCTTAGCTGCTATGCTAAGCTTCCACTCCTGTTTTCGGTATTTTTTAAATTTTTGCTTATTTTATTTATTTGAGAGGCAAAGAAAGACAACTTGTGTCTGCTGGTTCATTCCACAAATATCTACGATGGTCAGGGTTGATCCAGGCTGGAATTCAATGCAAACTTCCAACACAAGTGCAACAACCCAAGCCCTTGTGCTATTATCTATGTCCTCCCTGGAAGCTGGATTGGGATTTAAATTCATGCATGGGATAATGAGATGTGGACTTCCCAAGGTGTCTTTGCTGCTTTGCCAAGGACCTATCCATTTAGGGTCTTTTAAAACAAAAATAGCAAAGGAGATGTCATTATTTTTCTAAGTTTCGAGAATACAACAGCAAAAATAGTTTACAAATACTGTGAAAAATTCAAATAGAACAAAATGGTAGAAAATAAAAGTTTATTTGCTTACCCTTCCTTGTTCTCTTTGCCCACCGATAAGGAATATTAGCAGTTTACTCTGAGTTCTTTCACAACTTTATCTCCTTATTGAAGATGTTATGAAAGCTAAGCAACAGTTTGGGCCATTGGTAACACTGTGAGTGTTCACTTCATGGCTATGGCTGATTTCTACTGCATATGTGCCTAGGTCTCTTCTAAATTAAGCATTGTTTGGTCTGAGATCACTTTGGTCATCAAACAAAACCTTCCATTGTTTTCATTCAAGGAGTTTCTCTCCCTTCCTCCATGGGTCAAAACAAACATCCCCAGAATTCTACTGCACAGGAAAACAAGATAGAGATGTTTACTTCTTTGGCTATTTGCTGCTCTCTAACACTGGTCTCTGCTTAAGTCCACTTGGGGACTGTACCCTGGACAAGTATACCAGCCATCTCCATTCTCCACTGCTTGCCTGTGCTTCCATCCACAACAGTGGAACACAGAACTTCTCATCCTTTGGCCTCCCATCCAGAGGAAGTGCCCTTCCTTCAGTCCCCTCCCTATCTGAAAGATGCCACAACGCTGGGCTTTTTCAAAGTTAGTATGCTGATCTTGCAATTTTTGAAAAGTCATCATGTTTCCCCTTTTTAGAAACAAGAAGATGAAAAGGCATTAAAAGGCACTGGGAAAACTAGCATTTAAGCTGGGCGGAAAGATTTATTGGAGGATGCATTGCATAGACGAGTATGGCACCTGAATAGAACCATTTGGATGGTATGTTAATGAGTTTGCACTTTTCTAGGCATTAAGGAAAGGGTACCTTCAAAGGCCTTCAACAGAACAACCACAGAGTTTTATTTTCCTTTGGAACAGAAACTATGCTGCCAAATTGAGAGTAGATTGAAGGAGATCAAGGCTGCAGACAGTGCAACCAGGAGACCGTGTCAGTAGCTAAAGGAAGATGCTCTTGGCCAACTTCTAAATCCTCTCCAGTGTCTGAGAGAATATTCATTCTGTTGGGATCATAAGCTAATCTCCTATCATAAAAGACAAAAAGGCGTTATCCTTGCGTTGCTAGGCTTTCAGGCAGCTAGACTGGCAGTTTAGTGTGATGGTAATTCATTCTGACAGTGCTAATAGCTGCAACAATGGTGCTCTGCAAGTTGGATTCAAGGCCAGGAGTGATGGAGATCACCCAAGGTAAGACACCTAGGACCCACTCATCGTCCCAACAGTTTGTCTGGTGCAGTGGCTCAGTATGTTGAATTTCATTGAGCTTCTAGCTGCCTTCATTCCTGTTTATCTATCCATGCTCTCTGTGTGAGCCCTCAAATCTTTCAGCACTTTTAATTTGCTTCCTAAAACAATCTAAAAAAGCACCTATACCCATTAAGGTGAAGAAAATGAAACTCTGGAAAGTTAATTTTTGAGCAGTAAAACATAATAGGTGACACACTAAAGGTGGATCTGTGTTTGTGGTGAGGCTGCCTGCTCTTTGCACAACAGCTCTGCTTCAGGAACTTGGTAGCTCATCATCCCTGTCAGAGAAGGAAAAAGCAGCTGAAATCCTTGAGCTGTAGCTTCCTCTCAGCAAGGTTTGCAAAATTATATAGATCATAAATAAAAAGCGAAGCTATTTAAAAATAACAATACATGACAGAGTAAAATGCAAAATCTAGGTACAGTTGGCATTTCAAACAAGTTTTACCCTTATAAGAGATACCTAGATTTCCCATGGACCCCCAAGCAACCATATCTGTGCTGTGTGCATTCGTAGAAATGTGTGCCGAGTCCTGAAGTGAAATATTAGCCTGTGCCTAGGGTAGTGTTGCAACTTGCCAAGTGTTCCCTTTAACTTAGTTAATGTCATATTTAACCCCAAATATCTGATCTATGAGTACATATATATATATACATACATATACATATATATAATAGGTCATGCATTTATGATCTTAAAGCAAGCCCAGGAATTCAGGAGATCTTAGCAAGTATTCATTAAAATATCCTGAAGCAGATAGTAAGTAATGCAACTAAGGATATGTGAAACACCATATTAAATATTCTACTAATAAAGAGATAAGATGCAAGGTGTCTTTTCCCCATATTCAGCTTATTATATCATTATTATGAAAAGATTGTTTTGTCATCAGGAGAAAATTATCTGTAGTTATTTCATGATAAGGAAAGAAACCCATGATCCAACTAGAGGACAAGGTAATGAATCATGATCATACCAAATTACACTTATTAAAATTCTATAAATTCAGAACATTTCAGTTCTCTAGCTTTGGCAATGAGTGCATTCTAAATAATATTCAGAATATTGTAATTATACTAGGTTATCTGGCCATAGAATATTTTCTGGATTTCTACAATATGTGCCCATTTGTTTGTCCTATTATTCATTCAAGCCCTGTGCTAAATGTTGAGGCAAAGATAAACAATATATATGGAATTCCATAGATACAGAATTATAATATGATATGATACAAAATAATAGAAGCGCACATAAGGCATGCATAGAAATAAAAAATTAACCTGCCTACAGGTTTCAGTAAAAAATTGGAACAATGGATGCCACGTGAGAAAGGTGAGTGGAGGATTGGATGTCAAGCAGAGGGAGTTGTATGTACAAAGTGAGAAGTACAAAGTAGTACTTTTGTGTTTGTGGAACCTAATATTGAGAAGCTATAATGAGAATCAGGAGATAAAATTAGCTAAACAAATGAAGGACCTTAACTTATCATTGCTAAATGGACTTGATTTGGTGATGTGAGCAGGAGAGTACAAAGTTTCAGGTACGAGCCCAGTAAGAGAATTTTTACCCTTAGGAAATATAAATTTAATGGATAACAATTTTAAGAGGAAAAGATAAATGCAGAGTCCAGGTAAGAAATAATCAAGACATGTATGAATAAAGATGAAGAAAATGAAAATAAGCAAGAAATAGCTAGTCAGTGATACCTCAGAGATTGATAATAAATTGGAAGTGATGGGAAAGGCAAGGAACTTCAACCCCTGAGTGATTGATTATCAAGCCAAACAAAATAAATAAATATACAGACAGAACAGATTTTGTGGAAATAAAAAAAAGAAACCCCATTTTGCCAAGGTTGTGTTAGAGCCTTGGGTGAATTAGGGGCACATAGCTGTCTGGTACTGAGAACAGTTAAGGTCTCAGCTGGGGATGCTGATGTAGATCATTGAATGCTCAACTGGGGATGGCAGCTGTGGATGTAGACGAGTATGCCTATTAGGAAAAACGCATCCTTATCCATGCCCAAGAACACGCATTGTGATGTGGTAGAAGGAATGATGACCTGGAGAGCAGGAAACCCAGCCTCCAATCCTTGTTCTCTTGGAACTCATCCCATAATGCCAGGCAGGTTGTTTAGCCACTCCCTTCCTTGGTTTCTTCACCTTTGAAATGAAGAGGTTAACTAGAGGAGCTCCAACATTCTGCAGTTCTCCAATTTTCCAAATCTCATGTTTCTCCCTCAAGGTTCTACTGAATTAGCCAATGAAACCTGACATAACTGGAAAACGGGCTCCAGGGTGGAAATCTGGCCCAAGAAAAGCCACAAACCTCTTGATTTTCCCCTGAATGATGGAAATCTGACTTTGAAAAATATTGTTGCTCTAATTTGTGAGCAATTATTGTAGACTAGTATCGAAATATAATATTGAAAGGGAGTGATGCTTGGTTGCAACTCTTTGAGTTTTGATTGAATGACCTTTTGAGTACAATTTTAAAAAAATAGCTATATAAGGCTACCCCACCCTTTTAAAAGCCACTCACTATTTCTTGCAATAGGAATCCTTGTAATTGATCTGATAATATCTGTCCCATGATACCAATTACAATTCCCTGCAAGTAATTCAGGAAAGAAAAACATTTATACTTATAATTACATTGCATTAAAATTGCATGTCTTTAAAATAGCATGCAGTTCAAATGACTATGTAGGAATCAGACAGACTCATAGAGGCTGAGCTGGCCAAAAACTAAGTGCATGAAAAGCTTTGCTTTGGTTTTCCAAAACTGTCAAGTATAGTGGGCCATGAACACCAGAGACACTCAGAGCATAGTCCAACTGACAAACTAAACACCTGCAAAGATCGGCATTGATTGAGTAGTGAATGGATGGAACAGGGTGTGAATCATTGGGTGGGTTTGATTGAGCTACAGCTCACCAGAGTGCCTAATACTTAGCCTCTGTGAGGATGTGGGGGAGGGAAATGATTCCATACTTCACTGCTGATGGGAATGTAGGTTAGTGTAGCCACTACGGAAATCAGTATGAAGAATGCTAAGACAACTGAAAATCAATCTACTGTATGACCCAGCAATCCTACTCCTGAGAAGTGGCGACTACATATGAGAAAGCTACCTATATGCTTCTCAGCATAATCCACAATAGCAAAAACATGGAAACAACCCGGATACCCATTGAACAAGGGACAGAGAGGAAAGCTGTGGTATCTCTACTCCATACATTCTACATAGCTATTGAAAAGAATGAAATTCTACTATGTGCAATGGAAGTGGTCCCAATTGGAGACCATTATGCTCAGTGAAATAAGCCAGTCTCAAAAGGACAGATATCACATACTCTTTCTGACATAAGGAAATAATCATACAAAATACCGAACAGGTATATAAGCAAGTATAAAATGTAACAAAACAAAATAGAAACAAGTATAAACATATACTCTCATAAGAGAAATGAACATATACTGCAGTATGCATTTCTACTCCTGAATAAAAGAAGGACGTCCAATGAAACTGTTAAATATACCTTGACAACTTGATACTAGACTTTCCACCATTGCCTATACCTACAATGCCATGATACACTTAAATAGCAGAATGCTGGAATTATGACCATAGCTGAAGGACTATACTATTGTAACAATACAGAGGAAAATGAGAGGGACAGGGGAAGGGTGGAGAAAGGAGAATGAGAAAAAGGGGAGAATCCCTATATCTATAAAATTGTATCATGAGAAAAATAATAGTAGCAATAAAAAAAACTAAAAAATACTTAGCCTCTAAATCATTCTCTGAAGATCCATAAAGAATATCTTAGGCCCTGGACATGCTGGCTTACTGCAGTCATTGGCATAAACTTTGTACCTTTTAAGTTATTATTTTCTGCTAGGATATACCTAGGGAGGCAGCATGTGGTGGATCTAGTATAGAGTCTCTCCCATGTATGTGGGAGATATAGATTGAGTTCTGGACTCCTGTTGTCTGGCCCAACCCCAGCCATTGCAGGTATCTCGGGAATGAACTCGTGGATGTCACATGTGCTTTGGAAAACCTGCTGTATAGATACTAAATTATATCATCATGCAAGCCCACGCCCAAAATCACCTTAGGTGATCAGTTGTTAGGATGTACAAAGCATCTCTTACTAGAGGTTAGCTGGCTAGATTTGTGGATTTGGCAAGATCTTCATTAAAATGTCAACCTGTGTTCTTGTGTTGGCCTGTATGATTTTAAACCCTACATTTTAAACAGCTTAGATTTTATTCCAATACGTTAGAAGTAAATTGTTTGTAAGAATTTCAATTCATTGAAGTGATTCTAATAACTGTCCCATCTAGAGGGGAGAGCCAGGAAAATGTCTTAAAATTGGGGGGAAAGGTACCCTCCTTCTCTGCTGGTGGGAGTGTTGGCTAGTACAACCATTATGGAAATCAGTATGGAGAGTACTTAGACAATTGCAAATAAACCTGCCATATGACCCTACTATCCCGCTCCTAGGAATATATCCAAAGGAAATGGAAACTGCCTATGAGAAGGGAATCTGTAATCCTATATTTACAGCAGCACAATCTACAGTTGCAATGACATGGAAACAATCCACATGTGCATCCAAGAGAAGTGGTTAAAGAAACCTTGGTACATCTACTCCATAGAAATTCCTCAGCCATCAAAATGAATGAAATTATACCATTTGTAACTAGATGGTCCCAACTAGAGACCATTAGTTCAGTGAAATAAATCAATCCCAAAAGGACAAATATCATATGTTCTCTCTGATATATGGCAGCCATCATGCAAATTATAAGATCAATAATCCTTTCCATACTGTTTTTGCTATATTATATGTGTTTTGACACTTTTGTTTTCATTTTAATTTCTTCCAAATAGTTTCTTTTCTCTTGTCAAATTCATTGCTGGCTCATGGATTGCGTGGTGGCATCACTTTACCCAAGAGGCTTTTGTGGTTTCTTTTCCTCACCTATCCATTGGTTATTCAGTGGCACATTTTCCAACTCCATGGTAAATTTTTTGTTTTAACTTCATACCTGTTGTTGACTTTGATCTGTGGCTTCTCATTTAAGGGATGTGTAGTGATGGCGTATATAGAGACTATCATATTCAGATATGAAGATACAATGCAGTGTGCATCCATACTTCCAAATCAAAGATGAAACTGTTGGATATGTCTAGACAATAGGACGCTGGAGTGTCTGCCATTGTCTGTACCTGCAATGTCAGGGCACACTTAAATAACTTCAGTGATGGATTTATGACTCCTTATGAAGAACTATACTATTGTAATAAAATGGGGGAAATAGTTGGAGGTGGGAACTTGGGGCAGGGGATAATCCCAGACCCTATGGAATTGTACCATGAAATTCAAACATAAAAAACATGGTGGCCTAGTGGCTAAAGTCCTCGCCTTGAACGTACCGGGATCCCATATAGGCACCGATTCATGACCTGGCTGCTCCACTTTCCATCCAGCTTCATGCTTCTGGTCTGGGAAAGCAGTTAAGGATGGCCCAAAGTCTTGGGACCGTGCACCATTGTGGAAGACCTGGAAGAAGCTCCTGACTCCTGGCTTCAGATCAGCTCAGCTCCAGCCATTGTGGTCACTTGGGGAATGAATCAACGAATGGAAGATCTTCCACTCTTTCTCTCCTCCTCTCCGTATATCTGACTTTGCAATAAAAATAAATAAATCTTTTAAAAAGGAATAATTTAAAAAATGTTTTAAAGTGGTAAGAGGAGAAACAGGTTCACTTCTCCATCTGGAGCAGGATCCTAGTCTATACATCTTTGAGAAGCAGGCACCCACTCCTATTCCCAGGAAAAGCCTCAGAGCAATGGCTGCAGGGAGTTGAGACTGAGGTAAAAGGACCCCATTCCAGTGAGGAATGTATTTCCATTACATTGGAATGTATTTTCTAATAGTTATGAGACAACAGGTCAATGAGCAACAACCATGACAGTTGTTGACTGTGAATCACTTAGGAATGCTTTTAGTCGCATATAATTAAAGCCCCATCAGGAAGGCATTTGACACCATAGTTAAGATGCCCATGGACACTCACCTTCCGTACTAGAGTGCGTGGTTAGTGGCCTGGATCCTCTACTTCTGATCCAACTTCCTGCTTATATGCATGCTGGAAGGCAGCAGGTAATGACTGCAGGATTGTGGACCCTGCCACCCATGTGGGAGAAACGCATTGAGCCGCTGGATCCCTGCTACAGCCTGATGCAGCTCTAGCTGACACAGGTCTTAGAAAAGAGGATTAGGAAATAGAAGACCTTTCTCTCCCTTTCAAATAAGCTGGAGTTAAGTTTCAAAACACAACATACCATGGCTTAAACAAGAATGTTTCTTTTTCTCTCACAAGCAGAATTCCTGGGGGTAGTGGCTCCTAGGATGGATCAGTGGTTCATCGGTGTTGAGGACTCCCAGTCTGCTGTTCTGCAGTCCTGCCTTCCATGATTGTAAAATGCTGCTACAATTGCAGGCGTTATAACCTTATGATAGCCATGAGGACAAGAAGAAGAGGAAGCACAATACATCTATTTTATGAAGCAAAGCAAAGCCTTCCCAGACGGCCCCTGCCGAAATCTTCTCACCTCTCATTCCCAGTGCCATCACTTGGTGAGTAGGCCACCGTGCTCTAAGAAAGGTGGCAAAGCAAAAGAGGCTTGTGCTTGTCTGCAGTGGAGATGTCCACACCTCACTTTCTGGGTACCACCAAAATATCTTCAGTTCCCATTTGATCAGTGATGGGGTGGGAGGGGGACCTATAATGGCATAGTTTACATTTCTATCACCCAATAATGACAGCATGGGAGTAAGATAAGTTTTAAAGAAATCAATTTTTTTAGAAAGAGCAAACATACACTTTTAAAATATGTGTTTATTTTATTTTCATTTGATAGGCAAAGTTACAGAGAAAAGGAGACTCAAAGAGAAAGAAAGGTCTTCCATCTACTTATTCACTTCTCATATGGCCACAACAGCCAGAGCTTAGGAAAAGAAAGAGACCAGTTCAACAGCAGACTCTCCCAGAAAGCAGTTACCACGTTGGGTCACCATGGATCTGAGAACGCTAGTGTGGACATTTAGACACCATCAGTGAACATGAAACTCAGCTTATGAGGCACATTTGCCTAAAAGTCAACATTACTGAACCTTATTCATAGTACCTTGAACATTTGTGATTCTGGTGGCTGGTTACATATTCATTCCAATCTCACCTAATTGGATAATGCCTACATTTTAATTGTCACCTGTGAAATTAAATGGACTAAAGTCAGTTCCGTTGACACCCTAATCTTGGTTGGCAGACTTGATTTCAACTGTTTTTAATAGGCATTAAACCACTTAAGACTGATGTATCTTAATCCTGATTCGGGAATCCCTGTCATCTTTACTATGCTTGTATTTCCCTCCTAATGCTCTTCTAAGGACTGTGCTGCTCTCCCCACCTGCTGGCTGTGTTTTTCCCCTAGAGGTTTTCCAAAGGTGTCAAACTGTGGCAGAACATCAGAATCTGGGAGCAAATTGCTACAGGAATAGATCATTAACTTCAGATCATTATGTGCCATTTGCCAGCTTATCTCCTTCCAATGTATTAGAAGGAAGTCATTTCCCAGTAGAAACCACTTACCAGCTGGAACTTTCATGCTCATTATCAGGATAGAAGAGGCTGATAGGTGCCCCTTGAACTTTTCTCAGGGAATTACAATGTTACAGTTTTCTCTATAACATGTTCACTTTGTAAAGAAAATATCTATAAGGCATTTGGGATTTCTAGGATGAAGGATGTCACATAAATGAAATAAACCCACTTGGGAAGACAGCAAAAGGATGACAAGGAATATTACGCATATTTTGGAGCTGAAAGCTCCAAGACAGATGAATTTATTCTAGGGACAAGTGGCTAAAGCAAGCTCTCCCAAGCAGAATGAAGGCATCCCAAGCAGCATTTTAATTATTACCAAACACCAAGTGACAACTTTACCAATTATAAATATATTTGCAGTTACAAAATGCCAGCTCTACAAAACTGTTTGATAGTGAGAGATTGAAAATATCTCCAAAGCAAATTAATAAAAGATTAGTTAAGCAAATTATGGTACATTCATATGAACACTGGGAAGTTGTCTAAACTAATTAGTAGGAGTGGGTGTTGTACTACAGCAGATGAACATACTGCAACACCTGTGTCATCTCCGAGTGCGTGGGATCAGTTCCACTCCTGTGCCATATCAACGGATTCAAGTCCCAGCTGCTCTGCTTCCAATCCATCTTCCCACCAACACGCCTGAAGAAACAGCAGATGATAGCCTCAGTGACTGGGACTCAGCCATCCATGCGGAAGATCAGGGTAGAGGTCTGGGCTCCTGGCTTGGGTCAGTGAAAGATTTTCTCTCTCTCTCTCTACCTCTGTCTGTCTCTCCTTCTCTGTCTCCATAGCTCTCCCTTTCAAACAAAGAAACAAAATTAA